AATGCTGCTGTCCCATTCTTTCCTCATTGCACAATGCATGGCATTGTCTGTCTTTAATAAGTTTAACATGTTACTTCAGGAACAAACATGAACCTTCAAGCATGATCCTTATGCAGTTATAGGACTGTACCTACCATTAGCTAATGGTGCACCATAATGAGAACATTTTCCCCCTACAGCATAATACTGTTCACATTCCTGTACTAATAATATTTTATTACCATCTATTTCTACTTCTTTCATTCTATTAATATATATAAGTACAGATTTTCATTCCAAATCTATTTCAAGAAATATACCTCACAGTGACAAGCCACTAGACAGCATATACTAATCAATATGCAATATACATCATAAATATTCTGATCCAAATAAAAACCATGCAAATAAAGGGGTTTATGGGTTGTCTGTTACTGCTTTAACACATCTCAAACAATGCAATTAGGTCAACTTAATCATCTACCAACATCTTGGATGTACTCAACTTTACAGAGTAACCATTGTTATATTACAAAATTTATCCCATTACACTATACTTCTGTTGAAACTTCATGGCGAAATGACAATAAGACCACCTACCCTCCATCTTGGATATCGTCTACATTACACAGTAATTGTTGAGTCATATTGGAGCTATTACTATTATTACTACTAGGTCTACTGGTGGTAGTTGATAGATGATTGACAGGATTAATTAGTGTACCATTGCCTACTAATTAATTAAAACATAATCATTAAAAACACTTTGATTAAATAATCCTTCGATGAATAGAAGTACAAATTATAGATAAGACAATTCTATAGATGGATATCAATAGATAGAAGGACCCATTTACTTTATTTAAAGGATCAATATCATGCATGGCACGTCTTCATTTGAACTTTTCGAAAGATAAAAAAGTATTGCAAAATCCTTTAAAATGTCCTTTAAATTCTTTTTGATGCAAGAAGTAATGAGGAACTGCATTTATGTTATTGTAGATAATGATTTTCCTGATATCTATTTTTATTTTGAAAAGCATAGAANAAGGAAAATGGTGATGACATTCTTCATTAATAAAGTGATGCCATGAGGATCCTAAATTTGTTCACATGTTAAAGCATTAAGTTGGTTGAATATTGAACAGTAACATAGAATTT